GCTCAAATTGAATAAATCTAATTATAAACAACACTATAACGATTAAAAACGTTAGAAATCTAACACATTATTTGTAATATATCATGAACAAAAAATCGAAAGGCGGAAAAAGAAAAAAAAAAACAGCAGAAATGTTTTTCACAGACTTCACTGTGTTCATCTAAAAAATCATGCTGTAATTGACCAAATTAAATAAAATTGAATATGTTAAATCATAATAGACACAATAAAGATTAAAAACCCTACAAATTGAACTCATTATCTTCAAAATATACAGTGAAATTAATCATATGGCGAAAAAAAAAAAAACTCAAACTTCTTACCTGGTTTTGTGAACCCGAGCCTTTAATCTCCAAATAACTCTGTTTTTCTCAACGATTATCACAAATTCGTAACAGAAGGTTTTGATGAACAACTTTACGATCAAAATGCCTACAAATTTTGACAGATTCATGCCCTATTTTTCATGAAACACAAGGAAAGGCAGAAACCCTAAAAACGTAACTTTCGTGATCCAAAAACACAAAATTTCTCAACCATTTAATCCGTGAAAAAGCTGTTTAAAGCCTGCATATTCGATCACATGCCAAAAAGAACAAGAAAAATGATAAAAAAATGGCAAATTTTGAGGAATCCCATGACGAACACTGTGCAGCCCGTGTTCTTCACGAGACTCGCCGATGCCGTACAGTGAATCGGAGAGTCACTGTACGGAATCTAGAACAGGGCGATTCCCGATTTTTTGAGCGATTCGAGAGAAATATGATCGATTCTCGAGTCGAACAGGGCGAGTCCGGTGCGGTTTTTTAAACACTGGGTCGAACAGTTGTTATGATTTCGTTTCAAACAGAAATGCAAGATTGAAGAAAACTATACATACTAATTTTGCGTCTCAAATCCATTTTCTTGTAACTAACATAAGGGAAAAGTGTTTTGTGCGTCGGAGGCTGCAATTCTACACAAGTATCCCCCTGGTGCATCAAACATTAATTTTAAAGATGGATGTAAAAGTAGTGTTCCCACCAAAACTTCAAATTAATGGTGTAAAAAAACTACATACAAAATACTATGTTTTATTTTAAAGTTAATTTTTTATATTCATATTATTCTCAAGTCCTAAATTTTGGATTTTAGAGGGAGGACTTATATGAATAGATGAGTTGGCAGACTCGTCAAAACCTTGGCTTTAAATAAATAAATGATGCAGCTTCTGTGAGGCCTACGCATTAATAAAAAAAGTAAAGCGTCATGTCAAAATTTCATCCCGTAAACACTTAGGGTATGAAAAACCTCTACGGCTCTAAAATATATTTCTACTATTGAATATGAAATTTATAGCTCAAAAACTAATAAAGATCTAGGTAAGTGAACATTCGATAATCGATAGGTTTAGTTAATGTATTATAAAATACACTATTTTTAGAGTTTGAAATCTTTTTTTTTTTATATGTATAATGGTCAAAATTGAGATGATCGATTTGAAGGTTTTTTTAATCCAAAACTACAATTTTAAATGAGATTTGAGATGTGGCTTTACTTCTTACTGTAAAACCTAGGCCATATTTTAACTTTTTTCATAAATAAGAGAAATTCACCTATGGACGATATTGGGGGGGGGAGGGGGGAAGGGGGTCAATTATCAAATGGACTCACATTTGCCTGAAATTACAAACACTTATCTTGGGGTATTTTTTTTCCCAAATTGCTCTGTAGTTTTATATCTTTAAAAAAAAAAAGCTCCGTAATTTTATATCTTTAAAAAAATAAATATTGTCCGGTATTCCAAATATTAGATAGCTTCATGTCCTTTAAAGGTCAAAGCGCTGCTCGTTGTTTCAATTATCAGACAGCTCTCTGGTTTTGAATGCCAACTACTAATTAGAATTTTATCAGAAAATAGCTGAGGACTCTTTAGGAAACAAAAAGACACCCAAAACTAAGGATTGCTTCATGCTGGAGTCACCTATCTTTTCTGGCGAGTTTCCCGAGTATGGAGCTTGGGGTGAGGAGCACCCTTTCTTTGAGGAGAAACACAATGATTATTTTCAGGTGGGGTGTGAAGCTTCTATCGAATTTGAGGGAAAATTCATCTATTGCTTTGAAAAACGTATCCTCTATATGAACAAAATAGAGATCAAATATGTAGAAGGAAGAAAAGAGGAAGGTAGAAGATGGTGATCTCTTTACCAAAAAATTATTGGAGTTTGCACCAAAAAACTAGATTCGTGGATTGATTATGCAGGAGATCAATGCTTTTAAGGTGGAGAATAGGTCGTTGGGATACAAAAAAAGGCGACGGAGGATATTAGGGCTGAGGTGAAATGAGGAGAAAAATGAGAGCTATCCAGTAATTGAAACATATAATAGATTTTTTTACTTTTGAAAAACATTACCCCTCTTATTTGGTGTTTGTGTTATCGAAAAAAAAATAAAAAAAATAATGGAGTGGTGATCCTCGTAATTTCGAACACAGTGAGTTTAGTTTATCTGACAAATGATCCCAAATAGTATTCCATATGTAAATTTCTCATGGCAAAGATCTCTTCTAGCACGTGCAAATACGCACAGTCGTGGTCCCCACTATGTCGCGTGTGCGAAGTGTGCAAATAAATATCCAAGTTTTGAAATACTAATTGTGATGCTTTTCTTTATCAGAGAGCGCTTTCACCTGTGTGTGTATTGGGAACTGGTGATGCACATAACCAGAGAAGAAATGACCACATTTGTCACCTTCTCCTTTCCACTTTTAAATGCCATTCATGCCCTTCTTTTTGTCCAATCGAACCGTACAAGCACCTGCAACCAGGAGGTATGCAGTACCGTGTGCAGTGCCCCCATCACCAGAGCCCCAAGTTTCAGTTGTCGGCCCCTGTTGCGGCACCTCACACTGCAAATTTGCTTTCAAACCCTAATTTATGGGGGCTCCAATCCTATTTGTAAATTGTAACGATTGCTTTCAAGAACCCTTAATTCTGTTTGCTCTCTCAACTCCTTGTTTTTCATCTGCTATGCTTCTCGTTCTCTTTGACGAGATGAAGAGGCTCTCTGGGAATCTGATTTCAAAACCGTAACTAAGGCTCTGGCGGCTTCTCTGCTATTTCTGCTCTTTGACGAGATGAAGAGGCTCTCTGGGAATCTGATTTCAAAACCCTAAGTAAGGCTCTGGCGGCTTCTCTGCTATTTCTACTTGTTCTGAGACCCTTTTATTCTTATCTCTGTAACAATCGGAGGAAATGAAGAAGCTCCATAGAAAGCTACTTGAGAAGGAAGTGTATGGAGATAGCAGAAGGGCTGGGGTGGTCCTGCTTGTCATCTTTGTTCTCGCTGTGCTTGCTGTTGTGTCTTTGCTTGTGGCCCTCAGCTATTACTGCTACATCAGAAGCAGGGTCTCCAAACGCTCTAGGGATCAGAAGAGTGAGCCTACTCTTACTTTCTTCTTCTTCCATTACTGCGAGTGTAGTAGTGGGTTTTTTTTTTTTAGCTCTCATTTCCATCTTTTACGTCGATATTTGTTCTATGAACTCCTATTGTTCCATGCCTGCTTTCTTGTTTCAGGATTTTGTAATATTGGTCGTTCTTCTTAGCATCATGACTCTGTGTTTTTGCGAACCATCAAATATCACAATTTTGTGTTAGTGTCCATCTTGTTTGAAGTTCTTCTGGTCTTTGTGTCTTTTGACGTTTGCTGCCTCAAAATTGTCCACAGTATCATTTATTGGTCTTTTACAATTGGCTTCAGCAAGCTTTATGTTTCCTATCTTTGCTGTTCTTTTTTGTTTCTGCATATATTATTGTCGTTGCTTGTATGTCCTCCCGTTTTGTATAAGGGTGGCAACTGTCCGAGCCAAAAACAAGGCCGAACCCGGCTGGCATTGGCCCTAGCTGACAATCGAGCCACAGATCATGGCCTATGCCTTACCTTTTTAGGGCCGGGCAAGGCTGCCCAGCCCATTTCCTGCCCTAACTTTCGTATTCAAGTGTTTTCTATAAACTTTAACCTTGTTGATTTTGGATTTCCATCTGGTCCACTTGGTGGTTTGGTGATTCTGTCTCCTTCAATTAACATGGGCCCTTCTGTTTGTGGTGGGAATGTGCAGATTAATTGAACCATATGGCTATTTATCCTTTGGACCGTTGATTTGTGTAATTCTGTTTCCATTTTGTTGTTTTGTTGTTGTTGTTCCCGGTACAGTTATTATTGTTTATTCAGGTATTTAGCCATATTGTTGGAGGATAAGAGATGCCAACCTAAAGTACTATAATAATTTGTTTACAACGCAAATCCGGGGAGACCTTGGATGAAACCTCACCGAATTTGTACTCTAAATGAGTTAAAATTAAGATCAATCGAGAATAGTGGGGACCAAATTTATGCTCTAAACGAGTTAAAATTAATATCGATAAAGAATAGTGGGGTCCTTCAAATTACGATTCAGAAACCAGATCTTAGAACATCTGGGTTCTTTGAGAATCGTCGGAAGATTTGGCTCAAGATCACTTGGAATCCTCAATAGAAAACCCTGAAACAAAGACTGAAATAAACTAAATTTAACTGAATTAAAACAAAACATATAAAAAAACGAAAGGAAATAAAAAGAACTTACCTTGCTGGGCTGATGTGCCCGGCACACTGAAGACCCAAAATTGGTGCCCGTATCCAACCGCGGCTTGTTTACACTGTGCTCCTTCGCTTTTTCTTGAAGATTGCCTAGGGAATTTACATCCTAAGGTTTAGTTTACCAATGAAAATTAGAGTTTGACTATAAAGGATTGAAATTGGTAGGGTTTCCCCTAAGGTTTAAAATTTTCCTAGATCTAGGGTTTAGGATAGGGTTTTCTAGGGTTTTATGATCTTTGGAAATTAGGGTTTTGGGGCTCTAATAACTAGGGTTTCTAGAAATCTCAAGATTTGTTGAATTCCATGTTTAGGGTCCTTTTAAAGACTGTCTTCACATGTTCCAATGTGTCATCTATCATTATCCAATGTATTTCTCTTGAATTTTTGAATTTATCACAAAAGAATGGTCTGGATGATGGTTCCACGTCGTTTTTGGGGTTGTGGTCAGATGATGATCTTGCTGTCATTGCTATTGTTTAGGATCAAATTGGGCTGCATTGGGGCTGGACAACACTGTGACCATCGTGCAAAATTTTTGAGCTGGACGACAATGAGAGTGTCATATGGAACTTTTTGGAATTTCTTGCAAACAAAATTGTATGGGCCATAACTTTCAAACCGTATATCAGACTTAGGTGATTCTTGGAGCGTTGGAAAGCTTGTGTTCTCCTCTAAAAATTCAGAATCAAATTTGGGCTAATTTGAGTGAAATTTGAGGGGTCTACAAGGCAAGGACTTTAGGGTATTGGTTTTAGGTTTCTAGGGGTTAGACTGGTGTCATGTTAGTCTCGTATGCTTATTAGGCTTAGGGCTATCCAGAATTACCAGCTTGGGGTATTAAGTAGGTTTAAAGTCTATGTTTTAGGTGACTAGGGTCTACTATGTTGTTGTGGTCCCTAGTGTTAAGGAACTTGGAAAAAATTAACCAATTTCAAATGGAGTGTCTCCACAATTCTATAGCTATATGTTACCAAAGACCGTGTTTTTCTAACATGACTCAGGCAGCGGGCCCGATCCTGAGTTAGGTCTGACAGATTGAAGTCGGAGTTGGTCAGATTTGGACAAAAAAAAATGGGAGCCAGCTAGATTTGACTGGTTCCCATGTGTTTGTGTTCAGACTCTGCAGCCTTCTTGTCGAGTCCGAGTGACTTGGCTCGCACTTGTGGAGTTTTCATTCGCTGACTAAATTAAGCTTTAATGGCCTGCTAATCATCTTGTTGTCGCTATCATGGCTTTCAAATATCCAACCATTATGTTGCATTGATATCTGTTCTTTGTTCTTGTCTTCGATGTTTTGATGGGATCAGGGTTGTTCAACAGATTGCCATATGTAGATGTTTGTTGTATTTCACCTATACTAGAGCATTTAATTTCTTTTCTCATCTCCCTTTTACTTCTTTGCTTATTCATATTAAAGATATGAATTATCACTTGATGTTGTGGTGTTATGGAATCTACTATTGGTGGTCCCCTCGCCTCCCAGGTTTGAGTTTGTAGAACCAGGTTGAAATCAGAAATTTCAGTGACATGAATTTCCCATAAAAAATATATTTGATAACAATGACTGATATAGTCCTATGAAATTACTACGTTACGATCATTGAATTGTCAAAATCCAAGAATAATTCGAATTTATCTATACAATTCTTCAATCATTTTGTAGTTGCTCCTCAACCATATGGTTTTGTGTGCTGTTTTGAGGTGTCAATCTTCCCCATGAGTTGCATTTGCATACTATTGATGTTCAGTGCTGTTGCCTTCATTTTGGGGCTTATAGGTGAGCATACCAACTAGATGTATGGGGTTTTTCTGTTGTACTTGTGTTTCTATAATTTTCAATTCTCTAAAATGTTAAAAATGACATTTTGAAAAATGGCTTAGTCAACTTAGTGAACATGAAGCAACTTGTTCTTGCTTCGGACCATGTCTTCTGTTGGCTTGATAGTTAAACAGTGCCATGTGCTAAAATCCTCTGCTTTCCTGTCTTCCTTATGCTTACTTTTTTTTTTTGTTGGGAGATTTATCAAAATACAATTAACTTTTCAACAATTTAACAATTTACCATTTTCAAGTATTCCAACCCATGGGCATGTGTATCTTAATGGGTATTTTGAAATTAAATCAGAAGACATGGTAAAGTGTTAAATAATTAATCTGTCGTATGAATTTTGATAAATTTCCCTTTTTTGGCTAGCATATTGTTTTCTGCTACGTTGGGATAGTGAGTACAAAATAAATCCATCCGATCTTTTTGTCAGGAACTTTCTGTGACTACTATAATCTACAACCTGGAGATATTGAGTACAAAGTAAATAAGTAAGGCCTTTTTGGTTGGGTCTTTACATCACTACTGGGTCTATTCATGCTAGCAATGCCAACAATCTTCACACTAAAGCTGTTGACACCACCATCATGTCCTCAAAACAGCTATAGTCCTACTAATTGAGTCCTTGTTTATGATTTTTTCTTATGTGGACTCTCCATATGTGTTGTCCTTGGATTTTTCCTCACAAACTTCTCTACAAGAATTAGGAATAACACTTTTCTTGCAAGGTTTTTGATTGGGTAGATGTCCGTGGTTTTGACCTGGAAGCTCATTGGTTCCTTTCTTCTTGTAGAGTTAGAAGAAATCTTTCTATACTTGTGAAAAGACATTGTAGAAGACCTTAATAGGGTCCAAAGACGAAGGACAGTTGTCCATGTGGAAAACCTTATGATAGATGACCACAATAAATTTATTGGTCATAATATTATGGCATGACACTCTAGTTGCTTTAATTTTTTCTCTGCGTTTGGATGTTGATGTTATTTTTCGTTTGAAATGGTTATTGATTCTTGTTTTGATACTGTTTATAGTGAAGGATGAAAAAGTTGGTTCTGCAAGTGTCAAATCTGGTACTGAGAAAGGAATTCAGGTATACACATATAAGCAGCTCTATTCTGCAACAAATGGGTTTAGTTCAGGAAACATTATTGGCCATGGTGGATTTGGATCGGTCTACAGGGGTGTCCTTCCAGATGGGAGAAGAATTGCTGTTAAATTGATGGATAGATCTGGGAAACAGGGGGAAGAGGAATTCACAATGGAGGTACAGAAATCTCCAGGATTAGATCTATACAGTCATGATTATTCAGTGATAATTGTGGTAACATGTAAAGAATATTTCTTTGCTTATTATTCTTTTTTTTTTTTCTTTATTGATATTCATGTTTAATATTTTGATGGAAAGGTGGAGCTACTTAGCCGTCTCCGTTCTCCTTATCTTCTGGGTCTGCTTGGACATTGCTCCGACAACGAACATAAATTATTGGTCTATGAGTACATGGCAAATGGCAGCCTGCAAGAGCTGTTGTATTTGGACAACGGTACACCCATGCTCTTGCCATGTCTTGGTCATTCTTATATATTTGGTTATTTCTCTTACTGAACTGATATTGGAGTGTAATTTATTGTGCTGGACTGTTGAGTTTTTCATTCACTTTCTTGTAGTTTTAACCAGGTATGGCCAGGTAATCTTTTATTGTTTATAAACTCAAATTGACTTTCTCGATATGTTGAACTAAACGTACTTGGGGAGTATTTTTCAACTATAGATGCTTGGAGTGAAAATGAAGGTCTTGTGAAATATTATTGTGAGCAGTTATATTGATTCTTCTTCTGTACAACTTCCACATGCTTTAGCATCATAGTTTTGAAGTGTTTAGTGAGTGGAAATGACTTCATGCCAAATTTCTAAATGCTCTGTTGAAAGGTAGTACTTTTTTGGTAAGCATTCAGGATCTCTGGAATCTCTGTTACTCACAAGTTTTCCTTGTTATTTATAGATGCTGAGTTCTTGCTATAAGGCATTGGTATCTTTAATTTTCTTTTAATAGAAGGCATTAGCATCTTTAATTTTAATTGGTTCATAAGCCATAGCCACAGTTTAACTGTAGAACCAAACTTTAGTATGCAGAGAACCATACTCTTAGTGTGCAAAATAACTGCTCCATGGAAGTGATGAGGATTCTCAATCTACATGGAGATCATGGGAATATGAAAGCTGTGAAACATCGAGAAAGGCGTGGGGGGTCTTATAAGCCCTAATGAATGGGTGCAACACATTCCTTTTGAGGTCTTTGGTTTTTTTCCCTTCTTAATTTAGTGATGTGTTACTGGGGGTTGACATTAGAATGATGTAGTTTTAGTCAATTTTTCCAACCCTATCTGCTGTTGGACTAATACTAGTTGTCCTTTTGGATGTTCTCTTTGGATTATTCAGTTGCATGATGCTAAACAAGACTAGTTGTTTTCCATTGTTTGTTAAATCTTCCAACCTGCTTGTTATTGGTTCAGTCAAATGAGGCTTGCCTTGTCAAAGTTCGTAAATGAAGTGGAACATTGTGAACGGAAGCATGTGCATGGAAACTCCTGGGCCAAATGAAAGACCTTCCATTGTGACAGCTAGATGTGACCTTTTTTATTATACTTGGTGTACAAATAATGGTTGGTTGGAGGCAATGGCAGTGTAAATAGGAGTGTAAATGGGTCGGATCCAGGTCGGGTCTGCCTGGACCTGATCGTAATATACGTTGGGGGCACAAAGACTTGGACTTGGAACCGGACCCATTCAGGTTCAAACACCCCCTTACCCAGTCTAAGCAAGGGTGGAGTGTAGAAGACCCAGGTCGGGTTATGTTATAAGAATGATATCATATGGATATAATATTATGATATCATATAATGCATTATATATTACATATAATGAAATTTTTTTTATTTTATGATATAACCGGGTTGGGCTGGCTCGAGTTAGACTTGAACCGGGGCCAGCCTCCTCGGGTTCAGAAGAAGGAACCTGATGCAGGGATAAATAATAATAAACCAAGAAAATAAAAATATAAATTAAAAACAGTTGAGAAAATATACCTTTTCTCAAGGTTTGCAAATAAAAATATAAAATAAAAAAGGTTAAGAGAATATACATTCTCTCAAGGTTTTTAAGGGAATCCACCCCAAAAGATCTTTTCACAAGATCAACTTTATTCAATTCCAATCTCTGCTGTTTACAATGAGGGACTTCTTCCCTTTTAAATACTTAAAAAGAACCCACAAAAATTAACTCTCTCTCTTATGTGATTTTCTCTATCCCTATCTTCTCTCTCTTAACCTTATGTGCTTAAAAGATTTGCTTCTAAAAGATAGCCCACATTTTACCTAATAAAAAGCTTTCCCTAAAAGGCAAAACGTTGCCTACAATTGAGAAGATAAAACCCGCTCTTGATAAACCCTATCCTATTTAGATTTATCTCTTTAAAAACTAACCAACCCAATTGATCAAAACAAATTACGCACCACCCTAATCTCTAAAACAATTCACGCACAAAATCCTTCTTCTCCCCCTCTTAACAACTCATGCACTAAAATCCTCCCTCCTAACTTTTCCCAGCTCTTCCTATTCCTAAGAAAAATAAACAAAATAATAATAACACTAAAATTTTGATTTTTGTCTATTTTTTTTTTTGTGACAGAGCTAGAGCCAAACCAGGCTTGGGTCAACCCAACCTGTTAAGCTCTCTATGTGCAAATGGGTAATGCTAGCTTGGTCTTTGTCGTTGGGCCGTCTTCAAGGTTTAAACGCTTGGACTCCATCATACCACTGGAGACTTCCAAAACTGTAACAAAGGCCAAGTAATGTTTGGTATTGACTGATGGTTGGTGGTGACTAGTGTTGCAAAGTAGTGGAGATTTCATGTTTAATTGTGTAGATGGCCAATTTTGCTTGCAAGCATTTCTGCTAGAGCCCTGAGGGTGTGTGGTTACGGTAGACCTTATGAAGAGTGATGCTTAATTTCTTCTTGTACTAAGAACTCTTGTTTTAGATTTCAGGCTCTAATGGTGGTGCTTCAAAGTTAGAATGGGAAACAAGGTTGAGAATAGCTCTTGATGCTGCTAAAGGACTCGAATACCTCCATGAACATGTCAACCCGCCTATAATCCACAGGGATTTCAAGAGCAGCAACATTCTCCTGGATAAAAATTTTCATGCTAAAGTATCGGATTTTGGTTTGGCTAAGCTTGGATCAGAGAAAGCTGGAGGGCATGTGTCAACCAGGGTATTGGGCACCCAAGGTTACGTTGCACCGGAGTAAGATCCTCCCTCCCCCTGCTGGGCAACCAAAACGAGGCTCTCTCTTCTCTCTCACACACACTCACACACAGATTTTGATGGATGCAATCAGCTTTTCATATGCCAGTCATAATCTCTGAAATCATCAATTGATCTCAATCTTATGCTTCATGATATATTTAATGGTAAAGCAGTTTAGGAAACCTTGGTTACAAATGTCTGTTTCCCATCTGGGTGAACCACCATGAAATGAAAAACTGAAACTGCATTTGTCTACAATTTAAATACTTGGCTTGGGCTTGGGACTGAGCTCCTCCCCTACCCAAGTAACTCAGGAGAGTCCAAGTGGACTGCTCCTCGTAGTGTAGACTTAAACAAAAAATAATAAAAAAGAAAATCCCAAAAATTCAAAAAACGAGAAATAAATTTGTGGAGAGAGAGAGAGAGAGAGAGAGAGAGAGAGAGAGAGAGAGGCTGGCACCTCCTTTTTTTCCTATTAGCAGTACTTGTATTAGTACTGCTAATACTCGTAGAGTACCCAAGTGGTTACATGGCAACTCGTCTTGGCCTAACTCGGCCATGTCCTAGTCGACTGGGCTGTGAGTTTTCGAGCATTGATTGTGTGATTTTATTTTATTTTTATTTAGAACGTACTCTAGTTTCTTGAATCAATGTGAGGCTTACCTGGACCTAACTGACAAGAGATATTAAGCTTAACCTATAACCTCGAATAACCTTTAACAATTTTTGGGAGATTTAGCTGAACATTTTGATTCTCTGTATGAGTAGTACAAGCTTTTTAATCTTTTCTGCGTTATCCTCATCTCCATTTCTTTAAATGGTACCCTTTTTTTTTAACTAAATGGAAGATATATTTTACCCTCCTTTTCTCTGACGAGGTTGTATTGTCAAATCCAAATACTAGTAAAGAACTTTTTGTTTACATTTCACTGAAGTATATTTGTAAAGTGCGTTTGATATTTTTTGACATATTTGACTTCATTTCCTTTTGCAGGTATGCATTGACAGGGCATCTAACGACCAAGTCAGATGTTTACAGCTATGGAGTTGTGCTTTTGGAGCTCTTAACAGGTCGGGTTCCTGTTGACATGAAACGGCCACCTGGGGAGTGTGTTCTTGTCTCTTGGGTGGGTTTCTTTGTACTGACATAATCCTACCATTGTTAAATTCTTGCTAGGCTTTAGCAGTTTTACTGGGGAAAGGTATCAAAATAATCCCATACTTGTGTATCCATGCACAAATTAATATGATTTTAGTGTTAAAACATTCGAAGGAGAAAACATCGAAATTTATATTGAACATCTCCTGTATATTAGCTGTAATTGTGGAAATAAAGAATAAATGGGATCTCACTCTCAACTTTCTATTTGTTTCAAATTTGTTGCAGGCTTTGCCCAGGCTCACGGATAGGGAAAAGGTGATTGAGATTATGGACCCGGCATTGGAGGGTCAATATTCAATGAAGGATGCGATCCAGGTGGCTGCAATCGCTGCCATGTGCGTGCAAGCGGAGGGTGATTACAGGCCTCTAATGGCTGATGTGGTTCAGTCGTTGCTCCCTCTTGTGAAGCACCTTAGGTCCTCTTCTAAGGTAACAAGCTGCCCTACCTACCCACCTACTGGTGAGCATGTTAATGTTGGTTGATGAATTTCCAGGCTTCACATGCTAATGCTTAGTGATTGAATTTCAAGGATCTCGCTCCCTCCCTTCCTCACACCAAGTGTTTTATTTGTTCAGGGTATGAAAGGAAAATAGAAATGCTGGGACACTAATAACTATTTTTGTGGTAGCCTCTTTCTTATGTTATTCTGGTGGCAGTAGAAAACTGTTGTTCATTGTATTATGCACACGGTTTTTATGTGTCCATGTAGAAATGAGTCACCTTTTAAAAATCTATATTTGAGATGGATTTTTGGACTTAATTTTTAAGGACATGTAATCTTTAACATGGAGATAATGAATATAAAAAAATAAATAAATTTTGAAAATTAAAAATTATAATTATATTAAGTAAGCATTTTGACCGTTAGTTTCAATTGTTTTTAGATGTACCGCCTACTTGCATTCATCTTTAAGATGGATGCTTTATACCTCGGGAACCATAAATGTAGAAATGCGGTTCCCGCCGCTTGAAGCAATTTTCCTTTAATTATTAAGCATAAAACTAACATTTTATTATCATTACACTTAACATAAGAAGAAAAGGGAAATCTCTTCGGTTGGAGAACATTCTATGATAAGCTGGTGGATCTGTTCAAAAACTTTGGATTAACAGACATACAAGACGGATGGGGGCAATCCCTCTGCTGTACTTCTGCAGATTTATATAAAATGAGTGTACCTACATCACTGGTGTATGGAATATATTTCGCCATGTTGGAATCTATTGCTCTTTTTCAGTGATGGATGGTGGATGCTAAGTGTATAAATGCTTGCGTTTTGGAACTCCAACCTTATTTGTTATTAGGAATGCTAGATGCCTCCTGCTCCATATAACGTGGACTTGGTATCAGGGTTTGGCTATGTGTCGATACTGGGTGACATTGACTGGTGTCAACACTTTTAGAAAGGATATGACATGACACGTCCTACTGAGTTTCCAATAGAGTGTCTTTTTTTTAGGACACATTTCACTTTTGGAATGCGCTTTGAAATACTTATTCTTCATGGAACATTTTTTATTTTTTATTTTTTATTTTTTGTTTTATTTTCAATATATAAAAAAATTGAAGCCCATTTTCGTTTTTAAACAAGGACGATTGTATGTGCTGGGTCAATTTTGAAATGCCAACTTTTCATAAGTCAATTTTAAAAAACCATCTATGTTTCCCTATGAAAATAACCTGTGCTTGGGCGTAAGTCAATTTTGAGAATGCCCATATTTTTTTTTCAAAATAAAAATTAGTTTAGAATGAGAATAAATTTGTTTATTTTAAATTAATAAACCGACCTAATTGTTTTTAGTTTTTTTCCATGTTAGGATGCAACATTGGATCGAACTATAAGAAATTATCGATGAATAAAATTTAAATATACAAGTAATAATTTTTTGTTTATTAATTTAATATAATTTTTGTTAGTGATGTTTTATTATTGTTATGACATGAATTGTAGTATACATAGAAGGGTGAGGTTTATATATGAGGTGCTCGCCATATACTATACAAGTGAGGCGTGTATTTAAATTTTGTTGAAGATGTAATTCCAGTGTTGTAAACTTTGTGATGGCTTGAAAATTCATATTCAACTTTAATTATAAAATTTCAAATTTCAAATACAATTCAAATCGGGTAGATTTATAATATTTGAAAATTTTAATAATAAATGGCCTAGTTAACTTGTTACAAGATGCACTAATATTAAGATTTAAATTTTTATTTTTTATTTTTATATCTACGTCTCTCGAGGTCAAGATAATCAATTGAAAGGTTTTTTAAGTTCAAAACTCTTTTTCCTATTGGAATTTTAAGGTGTACATTACTTCGATGTAAAGTTGCAACTCTATACTATAGAAGGAATGTGCATCTCAAAAATCCAGTAGAAAAGAGTATTGCGAAGTTGGAGAACCTTTTAATTGATCATCTCGTATATATTAAAAAAAAAGAATTTCAAGTTTTCAAAATAGTTCATTTTGTAACAAGTTTTCTGGACCGTTTACTTTTAAGATTTTTAAGTGTTTATAGATCTCATTGATCTATGCTATTTTTGAAATTTGAAATTTTGTAATTAGGGCTGAACATGAATTTTCAAGTCATTCTAAGGTTTTCGATACTAAAATTACATCTTCTAGTAAAATTTAAAGTTATGCTTTTACTTGTATAGCATAAAAGTGGACGCCTTATTCCATTTTCACGTAACGGATTAGAAAACCACTAACGATTTCAAAAAATGGGTAGGGTGCGTCATACCCATTTAATTACCCAAGAGAAAAAAAAAGGAAAAGTGGACACCTTATACAATCCTCACCCTTACTTCTATAGTATAAAGTTACCACCTTATATAAGTTTTTTCTTTAAATGAGGGTGAGGTTTGTATAAAGTGCCGACCTTATACTTTAGAAGTAGGGAGCACTAAAAAATTTGTTTGGTATTGGAAACTTATGATGGCTTGAAAATCTTTTTTATTTGTAGTTATGAAATCTAAAGTTTAGAAAATGGTATAGATCAAGCAGATCCATAAACACTACTTTGAGCTCTTGAAATTTGTTTTCTTTTCCGTCATATCCATACATTTTGAAGTTGAGATGATCAAGTGGTTCTCCAATATAGGAACATTTTTTTTGAGGGGTTTTAAGGTGCACCTTACTGGAGTAGTATAAGGTTGTAACTTCATATAAACTTTTGCCTTTAAATACTGATGGAAACTATATATAAAGTGAGTTATAAGGTTGCAACTTCATATAAACTTTTTCCTTTGAAATCAGATGGAAACTATATATAAAGTGAGTTATAAGGTTGCAACTTCATATAAACTTTTTCCTTTAAATAGATATGGAAACTATATATACAGAGTGTATTTATTTTAGTACAAGGTCACAATCACTCTCGTTTTTTGAATTTTAAATTTTAAATTTGGTGGTTGTTGAGTGTCAAAAGACTTATAAAAAATAAGATATCTTGGACGCAATGATTGGCCCAAACTATCCATTTTTTATATTTAATGAGACGATCTCAGATTTTAATATGTATGCGCATATATACACATATTGGGGAAAGGTTACGATGATAATGTAGACGTTTATATTGTACGGATATCGTATGTCGATGAGATTCCGTGGGGTTTATATTTGACATGGACATACCCTGGGTTTATATTTGACATGGACATCTGTATGATAAATTGATATGGGTAATCATTTCTATGTCGCATAGCTTATACGAAATTGTTAATGTTATGGAACTAGTCGATGGAAAATATTGCCAACCTATTTAGAGTTGGGAAATTTTGTCCCACTAAAGGAGATGTTTTTTTTTTTTGAACGGGACTTGAGGAGATGTTTTTGGTGCACAAGATATGCATTGTAAATTGTTATTGGAGTCTATATTAATCGAAGCACGAGCGTATTGTTGGGTAGATGAGCATCAATTCTACCGTTTCACGGTAGTCGTGATAATGGACCCGACTAGACCCGGGACCTGATGGGTGGTGGGTCCAGTTACGGGTCCAAATTTTGGACCCGAATACTATTCGGGTCTGCGTCTGGGTTCAGGTCCAGTTAGATCCAACCTGTACCTGTAATCATGTGTTTTTAGGCATGCGCTATTGTTACAATATTGACAATTGTTAAGTGTTATTGGCAAAAAAAGAAAAATGAAGTTCATAGTCATAGGGTATATGATGGTTGAAAAAAAGGGGAGAAAAAAACTCAGTCATATGGTGGCACTAGATCCGACCAGACCTGGGATCTGTTGGGTAGACTCGAGATCCGACTGATTTGAGGAGGGGTCCAAATTTTGGACTCGAATACTTCTGGGTTTGCGTCCACTTGTACGAAACCCGACCTGTTGCCACCCCTAATTCACGGACGCCGGACGCTGGAGATGAGTATCATACCAATTTAGAAATAAGGATGGCTATGAAATTGGTCTCCACCATTTATGGAGATGGAATGTGTATATTGGGGTCCAAATGAACTTAGTTTCGTATGCTTTCCATGCAGTAATCGGGATTCATTTGGACGCCGTTTATGGCATGAATTCAGAGTCTCCGTTAAGATCGTTTCCGTGAGACCCTTTGGCCTTGATATCAGCCATAAGCCCGTGCATATCATAATTCTTTTCCCTCGATTCATGGGACGTGTTAGCACCTTAGTATGACTTACGCACGGAGCTGAGTTTTATTTTATATATATATATATATATATATATATATATAAATAAATAAAAGTAATGATCCTATGAGACCTTCACACATCCTAAAGGATCACCATTAAATTTGGTATGGATTTCTAAAAAAATCAAGTCTAACACCCATGTGATAACTTTTTTAGAGATTTGTATCAAATTTAATGGCGTTTCTTTGAGATCCTACACACATGGGTGTGGGAGCATCTCATAAGATTATTACTATATATATATATATATATATTACATACACATACATGCGTACACATGTACACACATAGGCATTTCCACCATTAATCATCTAATCGGTTGGATGTGGGCTTGTGTTGATCCTGTGAGTGCAACAACAATTGTGGATCCCCGGCATTAGCAGCAACAGTAAAAGATCACCCTTAAAACTTGTTGTGATGTATAGGCTCACCTTCGCGCTTTCTATTCCATGGTTCCTAGCACCATCGCCTTCACGGTTCTCTCTCTATTTCTTTGATCCCGTCTTCTCAATGAGCCTTCCTCCTCATTGAAATGCCTGCCTATGGAGATAACCCTTCGCCATAAGCCAGTCACAGAGGAGGTTCTCTCTTGCTTGAAATGTTCACTGAGGAAGGTGAAAAGGTCCAATACAGAAGCTGACCCTGTAATGATAAATGGGCCCTTGAAGCTGTAATGGAAATACCTTTGGACCTGGTTGTGTCTGATAAGTCTGGGCAATTGGTGGTGTCACCAAAACCAATAGCCCAGAAGCTTGTGATCCGCACCATTTGGTCTCCTTCTACTATATTTAGTATGGCCTTTGATGTGCCTGAGACCATTGGGGTGCCTTTGGGAACTACCTACAATCAAAAAGCATGGAAACCAAAATTTGAGTGGGGGAGAGAAAACCTCTGAAGCACTCAAATATGAATACAATATTGTTAGCTATGGTGATAGCTGAAAAGGGCAATTTATCAAAACACACATAACGTATCAACTATTTAACATTTTACAAAATTATCAAAATACACCTAAAGTATCAACTATTTAAACTCTTGATTATATGTTCCTTGAAGGGGTCTTTGAAATTAAATCA